GAACAATTTTTGAAACCCACCACTGGGATCATACATAGTAGAACTTCAAATTAGCCAGACAAATAGACAGACAAACAGACAGTCCCTCCCTCCATCCTTTTTTAAAGAATTGAACTATTGTGAGAAAATTATTTAGGGGGTTTTATTTGGGGGGTGGGGGGGTTGCTTTGCTGGTTGGGTCCTACACAACAGAATTTCAAAACATACGTTTCACTTTGCAGGTGGATTCTCAACACATGGAAATGGAAGGAACTAATTCTGTTTACAGAAGCTCCGGATGTTAAATATCTTGCTTGCTTTGTACCTGAGACATCTGCCTAATGAAGTGAATGCTGCACCATGGCTTGCCTGATTTCTGCCATCATCTTAAATCCAGGAATTATCACCCATTTCATTATGACTGGCAAGCAGACTAAAAAAGAAGAAGCATTTTCTGCACAGCTGCTTTTTTTTTTGCAAAGAAGGAGAAAGGCTTTTGCCAAGGAAGCAGTGTGTTCTGACCCAGCCTTAGCAGAAGCAAGAAACAAACTCACGAAAAAAAAACCCCTCTTTCTTTACCTCTTGGGAATTGATGGCATTCACCCACCCAAAAGTCCGAGCAAGAGTCCTACAAGGAGTTAAATGCAGCAACAGACCTTATCAGTTCCTTGCCAGGCCATGAGCTCCCAGCCGAAAGGCTGAAAAGCTAAGTTCTGTCAAGCAGTCTCTGTGGCACAAAACACAATGAGTAAAATCTTCAGAAATACGAACTGTTGTCTCCTACAACTTTTCCTTTCCTTCTATTTATTCCCCAGCCAGGGAAGGGCCATTCAGTGTCCACGTGTGCTTTGCTTCCCGAGTCAACTCCTTGTCCTCCGTTGTTCACCTCTCCTAACAGCTCTGTGCATATGTGCATTTGGAACAGGCCCCAGCTGTTCTTCCTCCCCACTTATCTCAGCCTCCAAAGGCAGCTGCCTCTCTGGTGGCTGGGAAATGTTGGACGGCCCTGGCTCTGTCTCTGCATCTGATGCAAAGCATCCATCAGAGCCTTCCCCAGACTCCAAAACTTGCCCAAGTTCCTCCCCAACCTCCTCACTGTCTGAGTTTGCCGCCAGCTCCGCTGGCAGCTGGTGGGCACAAGACAACGTCTCACCAAGCCTCTTCACTCACCTCAGAGATTCCCTCCACCAACCTCACCTCTTCTTCCAGTTGGCAAATAAATCCATGGCTAACGTGAAAAATAAACAGCAGAGAACAGAAATGCGTAGATTTTCTCCCCAGATTTGCTTTAAACCCTAGTTGCAGGCCAAAATCATTAGAATATTTATTATTCTTTAAAACAAAGAGGGGGGGGGAAGTACACCATAACCTTGTTGTCCGTCCCCAACTTTCTCTTTTCTCCAGAGAAGAAAAAATAACTGCAAATACAAGTAGAACAATTCATTTAGTAATCGAAGTTTTACAATGGCCCTTCAAAATGTGACTTAGGAGGATGTATCACACTTACGACCGTTGGTAACATCCCCAAAATCATGTAATCAAAGTTTGGACACTTTGTTTCACTGAGCAACATAAATTTAGGGCTCAATTGTGGTTGTAACTCAAGAACTATCTGTATAATTGGGTACGGGATTACCTGTACCAGACCACCCCAAGCACCAAATAAATAGATTTCTAAAGCCCCTACATTCTTTCCAGATGCAGAGGCAATTTTCCTCCCTTCCTTTGTAATCAAAAGTTGATTTTCTTGTAGTTTCTTCCTCCTTCTTCCACCCCCTAACCACCCTCTCTTG